GAAAGACAAAGTACCAGAGAGACAGAAAAATGCAAAAACAACTTCTAGTTATGAGAAAGAAAAATTGTGATCTCAAATAACTGTAACCAAATGTAGCATAATTGAGATTGGTGATAGTGATAAAATTTGCAGAGGTTTGTTAAAATAAAAAATAGAATTATCGTAAGAAAAAAAAAGAAGCACTTACTCAATCAAGTGAAACTCTACAATTATATGATTTATAGGCAGTATTAGTAAGAAAACCTAGAAATAAATAAAAATTAATTAGTATAAAAAAGAAAATTATCTTTGATGAGCCTGTAATAAAGTAAAAATGAAAATTCTGATAAAAAAATAAGTAATTCATTAGTAAGGTTAAAAAAAAATTAAATTAAATTAATAGTAAAGAAATATTTATGCACTTACCAAATTATTTTTTACGCCTCTATTAAATTATTTAGTTCATTACACAAGCCTTGGTGAAATTGAGTGACTGACATATAGTATCTAACTTTATATTATTTTTTATATAATTGATTATATAGGATGTTTACCTAAGAAATTCAAGGATCGACAAACTATTAAATAGATTTTAATCATGCAATAAATAAAAATAATAAATTTGACACTATTAGATTAATAGAAAAAAGATGGCTCCAATAATAATTATACTCTTACCTTTAATGATAGCTCATAAAAGTGGTATTAGAAGTAAAATACCATATTATAAGCAGCTATATGCCAAAGTCTATATCGATATAATTTATAACAAGATTAAACTTCATACACACCCTGGTAATTTATTTAGTTAAGATTAAATGATTACGATTAATCATACATTCTCTTGAAATACAAGAATTAAAGTAAACAGAATCAAATTTCATACTCACTCTAGTAATTTATTAAATGATTAAATTATTACAGTTTAACAAACATTTTCTTGAAACACAAAAGTTAAAGTAAACAGAATCAAACTTAATACTTACGCTAATAATTTATTGAATGATTAAATGGTTATAGTTAGTCATATAACCTCAAATTTAAAGTGAACAGAATCAAACTTAATACTTACACTGATTATTTATTGAACGATTAAAAAAATAGTTATAGTTAATTATACAATCTTTCAGAATATTAAGTTTAAAGTAAATAGAATCAAACTTCACACTTACTCTAGTAATTTATTGAATGATTAAATGATTATAGTTAAACATACATTCCTTTAAAAAACAAATTTTAAACAGAATCAAACTTAATACTCACACTAGTAATTTATTGAACGATTAAAAAAATGGTTATGGTTAATAATATAACCTCAAATTTAAAGTGAACAGAATCAAACTTAATACTCACGCTAATAATTTATTGACGATTAAAAAAATAGTTATGGTTAATCATACAACCTCTTGAAACACTAAGTTTAAAGTGAATAGAATCAAACTTCACACTTACTCTAGTAATTTATTGAATGATTAAATAATAATAGTTAATCATATTGTCCTTTGAAATACAAACGTTAAAGTGAGTAGCATCAAACTTCATACTCACCCTGGTAATTTATTAATCGATTAATTAAATAGTTATGGTTAATTATACTGTATATTCTTTTGAAACACAAACGTTAAAGTGAACAGAGGTCAAATCTCATACTAACGCTAGTAATTTATCAAACAATTAAATGATTACAGTTAAACCTTATAATCTTTTAAATACAAATGTTAAAGTGAACAGGATCAAATCTCATACTCACTAGTAATTTATTAAATAATTAAATAAATTAGGCGTAAAACAGAAATTATTACAGTGATCAATAATTATCGATATGTAAATTATTTTCTTATTAGAATAAGCCATTATATAAATTTATATAACTGGAATTTTGTGATTATCCTTATTAATAAATCAATGAAAAAAATCCTTACCATTACCAGATCAGAATACACCGCCCAGTCTACATACGTATATTCATATAAAGATACTTACATATGTGGTTAGTTTCTAAAGACAAAAAATAACAAAGTTTCATTTGAGAATGAACAGAACTAGAAGCTTTTTATATATAATAAAAAAGCAGAAATAGATTTCAAATAATTTAATTCATACGTATAATATATCATATAAATATATATATATAACTTTTTGATACTATATATATATTTATTATTTTTTTTAACTCCTAACGCTAAGCCAAACAAAACTTTATCATAATAAAAAAAATAAAATAAAATAAAAAATTATATATGAAACTAAATAATCTGGTAGTAAAACTAAACTAAAAGCTCTCTAGGTAATTTTTATCAATCATAACCTAAAATTATATATAATTTAATTGTTATAATTGTAAATAGTACCAATTTATAATAGATTCATAATTACTCATAATTTATATAAGGGCTATCTTACAGATATTTTCGATATTTTCGAAAATTATGATCTTCACAAGTAATATTATAAACAAATCAATCAAATATATGTAAAAATAGTAATTTTTTACTACAATTAATCTGTTAAAGGAGAATTTTGAGTAGGAAGTCATTTATAATTGGTGCACTCATGATGATCAGTGTGTACGAAAGTTTAGATGACTTTTTGGATGATCGAACTTTTTATGTTTCAAATAATCGAAATTCTGGATAATCATTTAGATGAATGGATATATTGTAAAAAAAAAAAAAAATTTTTTTTATATAATTGATTAATAATAAAAAATGTAGACTGACCATCTTCGGAAAGTCATCTGATTATAGATAAATCATTTTACTTTGCATACGTAATATTTTATTTGTCAAGATTTAGATTTCAATATTCATACAATAATAATGATAATTGTTATCGTTATTGTTGATTTAGATCCATTTTTTTTTTTTTTTTTTATATCATACAGATCAATATAATAGAATTATAGACCAAGTTCAGTCTATTCTTAGATATGTTTTTTTTTAAATTGATTATTGGTTATTCTAAAAATGTTTCAGAAAGTACAACGTTTAAAATGTTTCAAAGGTATACAATAGCTAATAATAATAGATTGATTTATGTGCGTTTAATAGAATAGTTTCTTGTTAATAACAATAAGCTGGACTGAATTCGATGATACTATAAAAAACAAGTTTCACTTATTCATTCCAAACCTGTAAGAATTAATTTATATAATTCTAATTTAAGATAAATTTAATTTTACCTACAAACTTAACTACATTTGGTACGTATTCTGTTTGGAATTCACGTCATTAAATTCTTTACTATTTTTATTTTTCTCACGATTTGATATTGCTACGTAAATATATATGTTGATATATTTGTATGTAGTTATTTTTTTTTTTATACACTAAGTTTTTTTATACACTAATTTGATTGGTGTATTATGCGTATTATGCAGTCTTTAATTTATTAAGGGAAAAATTATGCGTTAAAAAATTCTAATTGTACTATGTTAACTTGTTAAAAGATACTTTAGCATTTACATACAAAAAATATGCAGAGGCTTTTGCTTGTAAAATTCAAAAATTAATTAATTCTAATTTGCTCTTTAAAAAAAAAAAACTCTTTCTTAGCTAGCAATTTTTCTCACATCTTTGGTGGCTTGGTGCTAGCAAAATAAGAAATTGCTATAGAAATAAAGCAAGAAAAAACAGAGCCATTAAGAAAATTCCAAAGACCTCACCCACTATCACAGCCTAGTCTATAATTTTTTGGTACTAGTACGCTCCTTGAAAAGTATATTATATTATTATTATTATTTTATCTTATTTACAAAAAAAAAGTTAATTGAAGATAGATAGTCAAGAACGAATAAATTAACAAATCAGAGCAAATTACTTATTTGACGCGTCATTAATAAAATTTATATTTATCCAAAACACATCAATAACATATAGGGAGGTGTTATAATTCAATTCTTAATTATATAACTACAAGGCTTTAAAACTACAACTCTCTCTTATAATATAATGTAATTGCCATCTATTCTGCATTTTTAAACTTGCCTGAATCACGTACATTGATTTTTGAAACATTAATTTCGTGGTGCTTACAAAAATATTGGACATCTATATAACTGTGGATGTGTTAGTGTAATAAACAAGGTAAGCAGATATTTTTAAATAATAAATTCGTATTTAATATTACTATAGGGTATTATTATATAGATTTGAACAGTGTAGCAAAAAATCATATAGCTAATACCATGAAAGATGTCGTGTAGGCCACTAAAAAAGGAAAAGTGTATAGTATACTTATACATATAAAAATTTTTTTTAAAAAAAAGTGTATAGTATACATATATGTATAAAAAAATTTTGAGTCATCAGGTTATACTATTTTATATAGACATATGAATTTTTATCGATGGCTTGTCCACATAGTATATGATTATAATTAATTTAATCAGGATCGATATGTAATAGTGTTTGTACCCAATCAAAGAAATACTACCCGAGTTACCTGACAGGTGAACTCGCAGGTTACCTGAGTAATCGATGAATATACCTAGTATAAATTATAGTTATCGTATGAGTCGGACATAACAACCTGTGCGTCACTTAACAATATATCAATGATTTATATTAATTTTTTTTTACATAAATATTTGTTCGTGAAACTTCTCCATAATTTCATCTCTTTTCCAATACAGTAATATGTCTCTTACAGTTGACGATCCTGAAGCCCAACGTTTAATAAATCTTTCATATATAGCAAATACAGAAAAGAACACTTCAAAATGGCTCTGTCATATAGATTAATATTAGCAAGAAAAAAATATTGCAAAAATGTTAGATCAATTTGATAATCAGGAACTTGATAATTTTTTAAGCTCATTCATTAGTTGGCTTTCGAAAAAAGATGGAACCTCATTTAAAGTAAAATCAGTTCACAATTGTTATGCTGCACTGGCTAAATATCTTTGTGAAAACTCTTCTATTGAAGGTGGTGTTCGGATCTGGGATAAGTATTCTTTTCCAAAGACACTTCATTGCTTATATGGGAAAATGAAATCTCTACAACAAGCTGGTTATAGTGATACTTCAAAGAGTGATTCACTTACTTCAAATGAGATTATGTCTTGTCTAAATTATAATTACTTATCAGTTGAAAATAATAAGGGTTTAGTTTGGAGATGTTTTTTTTGGCTGTCATTGTTGTGTGGGTTAAGAGGAAGTAATACATATAAGTTAGAATACCAGGATCTTGAAAGATGAAATGATAGTGGCCTTCAATTAAGATTCAGAAAAGAAAAAAACAACCAAGGTGGAGTATTTTATCGACAACGATATAGTCATACTAGAACACGATTTATACCAATTCCTCCTAACTGTATTGATAATTAATTTACACCTGTTAAAGACTTTCTTCTCTATTTGTCAAAACGTCTTACTAATTGTGAATCTATGAGTGCTTTATTTTTACAATGCATAAGAAAACAAATAGGTAATAATAGTTTTCTATATTTATTAATTTTTTATTAATTTATATTATATTTAATTTTTTTTTTTTTTCTAGAAATCAATAAGGGAATTTGGTACAAAAATACTCGAATGGGTGAAAACAAGTTAAAATCAATAATGCAACAAATTATAATTAATATTAGAATAAATTTAAATGATAGAAAAATCACAAATCATAGTGCTCGACGTACAGCAATAATGATCTTAAAAGCTTTTGATATTCCTGAAGATAAAGCTATGATATTCTCTGATCATCATTCCCATGAAGGCATTCATGCATATAGTAATCCAACAGATGACCAGCGCTTATACTCAATAGCATTATTTATTCTATATATGGCTTATAATGAGGATCTTGAGTCATACTATTCTTTCCTAGGTGATTCTTATATTGATTATGATTCTGATGAAAATGATGAAACAGGTTAGTATAAAAAAAATTCAATATTAAAAAAAAAACTATACTTATCTTTTAGATGCTCTAGCAATAGTAACTTCAAATATATCAAAACCAAATCAAAATTCTACTTTACCTAATCTG